AGAAAGAAGAAAGAAAGAAAGAAAGAAAGAAAGAAAGAAAGAAAGAAAGAAAGAAAGAAAGAAAGAAAGAAAGAAAGAAAGAAAGAAAGACAAAACAAAACAATAGATCCCAGTCGTGAGTAGGCCAGACTTTGAGACCAGTTAGAGCCAAATTCCAATCTCAGCACTCCCCTTGCCAATTGTGGGACTATGAATAAATTATTTAACGTAGTGCTTTGGTCTCCTCCTAAGTACAATATGGCTAAGAGAATCGAAAACCTATCTCACAGGATTGTTATGAAAATAAGAAAATATGTTAGCACAGGCCGAGCACGGTGGCTCCCCTATAATCCTAGCACTTTGGGAGGCTAAAGTGGTCACAGTGAGCTGTGATGACACCACTGCACTCCAGCCTGGGCAACAGAGCAAGACCCTGTCTCAAAAAAAAAAAAAAAAAAAAAAGAAGAAGAAAAAGAAGTTTTACGCTGTGGCTCATGCCTGTAATCCTAGCTCTTGGGAGGCCGAGGCGGGCGGATTGCTCAAGGTCAGGAGTTCAAAACCAGCCTGAGCAAGAGCGAGACCCCGTCTCTACTATAAATAGAAAGAAATTAATTGGCCAACTAATATACATAGAAAAAATTAGCCAGGCATGGTGGCGCATGCCTGTAGTCCCAGCTACTCGGGAGGCTGAGGCAGGAGGATTGCTTGAGCCCAGGAGTTTGAGGTTGCTGTGAGCTAGGCTGATGCCACGGCACTCACTCTAGCCTGGGCAACAAAGTGAGACTCTGTCTCAAAAAAAAAAAAAAGTTTTAGCACAATACGTGGAACATAGTAAATCCCCAAATAAACTGGAGCTTTTATCATCACTGTTGTGCCCTTCTATGTAAAACCTTAGAAAAGTCTCTTAGTATTGTTAACAACAATAACAAAAAGTTCCCAAAATGCGCCCACTCACAATCAATTTTTTTCATAGCAGCTCCCTATTAGGAAGAGGCAAGAATAGACTGGACTTGGTCTTGTGCTGATCATTGCTAACTACAGTGGATGCAGCTTCTAAAAGAGAAGAAACAGGACCTCACATTGAGCACCAGCCCTTCTACTACCCATAGCTCAGTCCTCCCCAACTCTGCAAGTTTGTCCTAGAAAAGACTGGAACAGCAAACAGAGCAGCTCCTGCACTGGCTGGAGCCCTGGCTGCTGCCTGAGTCTCCCGGCAACTCCCAGGAGAAAACTTGCTCAGTTGTGCCAGCTAAGAAAACTCAAACAAGAGGTTTGGGATTCCAAGTCTGGAAAAGAAGGATGAAATTACTGGCTCCACAAACATTTGAGAGCTGCATATCCATTCTCTTCATGAATCTTAGAACCATGGATGGATATACCAGAGTCAGCTATATCGATTACAGATAAGATATTCCAATCAGCTGTTCGATGACTATTTCCAAAGCTGAAAAATGTAACCATTTCTAATTGCATCCATAGGATGGTTTACATAGCACCAGGAATTCAGATAAAAATGGGGGAAAAAAATCACCAAGAATCCATATATTAAGTCATGTAAACTGAATATCAAGGCATTTAGTAACCCAAACCCCAAAGTACAGTAATGTTTATAGGGTAAATATTCACCCAAAGTGATTGGAGTTTGTGTTTGCTTGTTTTTAAGAACTTGGCTCACACCTGTAATCCAGTGCCTTGGGAGGATCACTTGAAGCCAAAAGTTGGAGACCAGCCTGTGCAACATAGCAAGACTCCATCTCAAAAAAAACAAACAAGGCCGGGCGCGGTGACTCACGCCTGTAATCCTAGCACTCTGGGAGGCTGAGGCGGGCGGATTGCTCAAGGTCAGGAGTTCAAAACCAGCCTGAGCGAGACCCCGTCTCTACCATAAAAATAGAAAGAAATTAATTGGCCAACTAACATATATAATATAAAAATCAGCCGGGCATGGTGGCGAATGCCTGTAGTCCCAGCTACTCAGGAGGCTGAGGCAGGAGGATTGCTTGAGCCCAGGAGTTTGAGGTTGCTGTGAGCTAGGCTGACGCCACGGCACTCACTCTAGCCTAGGCAAGAAAGCGAGACTCTGTCTCAAAAAAAAAAAAAAAAAAAAAAAAAAAAAAAAAAAAAAAAAAAAAAAAAAAAACCAAACAAAAAAACCCCCAAAAACATCAGAAGAGACCTCCCAGAGGAAAAAAAGGAAATAAACAGAAATAAAATTTTAAAAATTATTAAAAACAAAAACAAATCTTGTTATAAAACCACAAACATGAGCCACAGCGAGTCCACTTGCTCAAGACTTCTTGAGCGTGGCTCCAGGAAAAAAATAAAATTGAAAAAAAAACCCCACAAACATCAGAAATGCCTGAAGCACAGATGGAAAAGCTGTCAGGCCTGTGGACAAGAGGAGTACTCTTGAGGGAAGAGAATACCAGAGTTGGGTTACTGTAGCTTGATTTAGAGCTCTCTGTGGGCAGTCACTCTGTGCCAGCTCAAGTCTAAGAGAATTTCAGAGCCCAGAGGTAGGGATGTGGCATTTTTCATGGAGATAATATCCTACATTTCTCCAATCATCTCATTGGCAGATATGATTGACTGAGCTGGGACTATAAAAAGAAACTGGGGTAGAATCAAATATTCATTCACCCAACAATCATTTATTTAGTAGAAACTATCTGCTGGAAAGGCTTGGGCAATAAAAGAATGAACAGAGCACAATCTTTGTGCCTTCCCAGGGCTCGGAATGTAAGATCAATCACTCTAGCAGTAGGATAGGTGACTCGAGGGCACCATGGCTGTGAGGGGTGCAGACCTAAGTGGTATCGCCCCCTTTTCTTAAGCTCTGGCCTTTAAACTCTGAACCTCAGGTCCTCATCTGTAAAGATGGTAATAAAATACCTAATGGGCAAAATTACAGGAAATTCTGAAACTGTCTAATATATGGCAGATCCTCAAGAAATTTTAACTATCATATAACATTTATAATGATATTTATAACAACAGTGGGATGGATGAGGCCCTATACAGGAAAGAGTACTATTTCTTGCCTAGCAGGGGCCAGAAAAGCTCAGTAGAGAAGGTGACATTTGAACTGAGTCTCAAATAATATTTTTAATCTGAGTCCACGAGCCTCCATGGGTTCAGGCTATGGGCTTCAGAGAGTGTATGAGGCCTCTGCAATTGTATTCCAAACTTTATGTTATAAACATATGGAATTTCAGAGGACTCATCATTTTCAACATATTTCTTTTCTTTTCGTTTTTCAATTTAAAAAATGAAAGAGATGGAGTCTCACTATGTTGTCCAGGCTGGTCTCAAACTCCTGGCCTCAAGTGATCCTTCCACCTCAGTCTCCCAAAATGCTGGAATTATAGGTGAGAGGCTCAAAGCCTGGCCTCCACAGATTCCTAAAAGGATTAGTGATCACCTTGTGGAGGTGAGAGGAAGCTTCCCTTTGACCCCAGAAAGTTTGCTGAAAGATGGGCTCACATTAAGGCAGATTAACACGATAAAGAGATTTATTTACCATGCCCACAAGGAGAATCACAGAGTGATCACTCAATACCCAGTGGGGTCCAGAAATTCATATACTCTCATTTTAGAGGGGAGGGGAAGATGAGGAATATAGGTAATTCTTTTTAGGGGCAATAAATGGTTACTAGGGAGGATGGATAGGTGTTTGGAAGAATGAATGGATGGGGGGAAACAGATTGCCTTGTAAATGATTCTCTTTGGAAATTAAATTAACCTGAGACACAGGTATTATATTTAAAGTGAGTTGGGCCAGGTCTGGTTCCACTCTTGATCTTCTTTCCTGAAATATATTGGGAAAACTGAGAGGGGAAGGAAAGGCAATTGTTCTCTTAATGGGTCTGTCTGGTTTTATGCAGATAGAGGGACAGCCTCTTCCAATGTCTACTGATCTCTAGGGCCTTTAATTCAAAACGCTTTTTAGGCCGGGCGCATTGGCTCACGCGTGTAATCCTAGCACTCTGGGAGGCTGAGGGGGGCAGATCGCTCAAGGTCAGGAGTTCGAAACCAGCCTGAGCAAGAGTGAGACACTGTCTCTACTACAGATAGAAAGAAATTAATTGGCCAACTAATATATATAGAAAAAATTAGCTGGGCATGGTGATGCATGCCTGTAGTCACAGCTACTCGGGAGGCTGAGGCAGGAGGATTGCTTGAACAGCCCAGGAGTTGGAGATTGCTGTGAGCTGGGCTGACG